GGGGCCGGGCGCGGGGCCCCACGTGTCCCGGCCGGGCGAGCCAATGGGCGCCCGGCGTTCGGAAAGATCGCCATATATGGACATGTTCTGGGGCCGCGCGCGCCGCCGGCCGGCGCGCGCGTCCCGCTTCGCTTAAATAGCGGCGGGGGAGGCCGCGCTCGGTCTCACTCGCCGCAGCCGGCCCGTGGTCTGTGTCGTCCCGCCGTTTGTCGTCCGCGTCCACTGCCGCCACTTCCACCGGTAAGAGGCCGGCCTGCGTGCCCGGGCCCCGGGTCCCCGAGTCTGGCGCCGCAGGTGCACGCCACGCCTCCTGTCCCAGGGTCCCCGCAACACTGCCTCGGGAGTTGGCGGGGTCCGCGCCGGGGCGGGGTGCGGTGCGGACGGCCGGTGCACGGCTGGCGCGGGGGGTGGGGGGGGTGGGGCGGGGCAGGGCCGCAGTGCGGAGAGTCCCGGTCGCGCCGCCGCGAGCGAGTGAGGGGCGCCCCGAGAAAGACCGGGTCCCAGTTCCGGGCAGTTACTCCCCGCCAGGCTCGGTGGGGGCGGGGGGCGGGCAGACGGACCCTCCGTGTCTAAGCCGGCCGCGTCTTCACGCAGACCGCAATGGAAGAGGAGATCGCCGCGCTGGTCATCGACAATGGCTCTGGCATGTGCAAGGCGGGCTTTGCTGGGGACGACGCCCCCCGAGCCGTGTTCCCGTCCATCGTCGGGCGGCCCCGACACCAGGGCGTTATGGTGGGCATGGGCCAGAAGGACTCCTACGTGGGCGACGAGGCCCAGAGCAAGCGGGGCATCCTGACCCTCAAGTACCCCATCGAACACGGCATTGTCACCAACTGGGACGACATGGAGAAGATCTGGCACCACACCTTCTACAACGAGCTGCGCGTGGCCCCCGAGGAGCACCCGGTGCTGCTCACTGAGGCCCCCTTGAACCCCAAGGCCAACCGTGAGAAGATGACTCAGGTAAGCGCTGCCCCGAGCGCCCGCCGTTCGTCTGTTTCATTAGCCATTTTCTGTTCCGCCTTATTTTCTGAAATTCAAGTATTTCTTTCGATATTTCCAGGGTTCTGTTCTTCTCCTGGCATTTCCTTCCTGAAGTCTCAAGGTTTCTTACTTGTGTTTCTGCCTGCAACCTTTTTTTCTTTTCTCTACACATCACATTTGTGGCATGCCAGCATGCGGTGTGTGAGCATGGGGTGGCTCCGGGTCCCTGTCTCTGACTAAGGAGCCCGTTGCCTTCTTCCATCCAGATCATGTTCGAGACCTTCAACACCCCAGCCATGTACGTGGCCATCCAGGCCGTGCTGTCTCTGTACGCTTCTGGCCGCACCACTGGTATTGTCATGGACTCTGGGGATGGGGTCACCCACACTGTGCCCATCTACGAGGGGTACGCCCTGCCCCACGCCATCCTGCGTCTGGACCTGGCTGGCCGGGACCTGACGGACTACCTCATGAAGATCCTCACGGAGCGCGGCTACAGTTTCACCACCACCGCCGAGCGGGAAATTGTGCGTGACATCAAGGAGAAGCTCTGCTACGTGGCCCTGGATTTTGAGCAGGAGATGGCCACGGCCGCGTCCTCGTCCTCCCTGGAGAAGAGCTACGAGCTGCCCGACGGGCAGGTGATCACCATCGGCAACGAGCGGTTCCGCTGCCCCGAGGCGCTCTTCCAGCCTTCCTTCCTGGGTAGGTGTCTTGGGCAGCCGCGACTTCGGGCTGCGTCGCTTTGGGCCCGGAAGAGGGGCGGATGCCCTCTAACGGAGAGCGTTGTCTCTTAGGTATGGAGTCCTGTGGCATCCACGAGACCACCTTCAACTCCATCATGAAGTGTGACGTTGACATCCGGAAGGACCTCTACGCTAACACGGTGCTGTCTGGCGGGACCACCATGTACCCCGGCATCGCCGACAGGATGCAGAAGGAGATCACAGCTCTGGCGCCCAGCACGATGAAGATCAAGGTGAGTCCAGTGCGGCCGTGGGCTGGGCCTCCCGGGGCCCCGCTGTGAAGACCGCGGCCTAAACTAAAGCCGCGGTTTTGTTTTCACAGATCATCGCTCCCCCCGAGCGCAAGTACTCCGTGTGGATCGGGGGCTCCATCCTGGCGTCGCTGTCCACCTTCCAGCAGATGTGGATCAGCAAGCAGGAGTACGACGAGTCGGGCCCCTCCATCGTCCACCGCAAATGCTTCTAAACGGACTGCGGGCAGATGCGTGGCGTCTGCCGCACGAGTGAATTCCGAAGTCTAGGTTTGCCCTGGCAAGTGTGTGCGCCTCCTGCTGGCCTCGTGAAACTGGAATAAGCCTTTGAAAAGAAATCTGTCCTTGAAGCTTGTATCTGATGTCAGCACTGGATTGTAGAACTTGTTGCTGATCTTGACCTTGTATCCAAGTTCACTGTTCCCTTGGTATATGTTTAATACCCTGTACATCTCTTTGATTTTAAATCCTTAGGACGTGCGGCTCGGTCACTTCGTGACTGAGGTTGAGAACATGTTCGTGGAAGAGAAATCCATTGGTTTGAGAATCTTCGAGACCGTGATATTCTCGATCTGTGCAGGGTATT